ATGGGTGACCAAAAATTTATATTATCTTGAGCTCCTCCGTGCTTCGGAATACATGCCTTTGGTCCCAGCTTCGTCTGAAGTCGTTAACACCCACCAATTCGCTTTGGACCTACGTGGTTGGTCAGGGCCTATTCTCTCTATCCATTGGAAAGGCCTGAGCTCATCAGTAGAATACTATCTGGAAATTAATAGGATGATGATGATGTCTAAATGAGATGAAATAATGAGTCTTATTGTACAATAATTAAGGCTTACTCTAATTGCTTACTCTTATTCTGTTGTCACGTCTAAGAAATCAAATTATATTCCTACACTTACGGGGAGTATGGGGAGAATGGAACACCATCTTAATCGGCCCTATGATCAACTCTACCTGCACGCACTTTTTAGCGACGGTAATCACTTAATTACTGTAATAGATGCCACTACTTACCCCGGAGCTGATTGTGACACTGATCACCAACCTTTGGTTACCACCATTCGCTTTTGCTTTAGGACAGTCCAAAAATCATGAAGGCAGACAGAACATGCGACGTGTGGCTATGCAGGATTTTAGAGACCCCATTGAATGTAAAGTCTCTGTAACTATTGATGTCACGAACCCAAATGCCAGTTGGAATGCTTTTCAGGAAATAATTGTGCAAACCACTAAACAAAATATACTCCCCAAAAGTGAAATGAAGGTTTTCATCACTAACAGCTAAGCTCATTACTAGGAGACTTGAACTAAAATAAAAAGGTCTTAAAAGCCAGTAAGATGTAAGACTATGTGGGGATCTCAGCACTGAAGTTCAAAGAAGATGTCGTAAAAATTACTGTAAGCATATAAATAATGTCTGTGCTGATCTCGAACGGAACTCAATCAAAAACGAGACTAGCGATCTTTTTATAAAGTAAAAGAGGTAAAGACAGTATATAAACATGCACAATTGCATGCAGCAGTATAAAGACATGCACAATTACAGATGAAAACTTATCTAACTATCTTTTGAGCTAAATTCCAGAAGAACACACAAAAAGGATTTGTTAAAGGCTAAGGAAATCGAGAACCAATTTTAAATATCCTCCAAAATATTGAAAAGAGCAGAGAATTCAACTGCCCGGTTAAACTGTTCATAGAATCTGCTAAGGCTTTTGATTGTGTGAAATGGAACGAGCTAACGAAATGGACGTGCTGACGGAAATGGGTACATCTGACCTCATAATCTATTTAGTACGAAATCTCTATATCAACAACCACTCTTTCATCAGAATTCACACCAACCGTTCGAATGTGTTCTACACTAAGCAGGGATGCATACTTTCACCGCTTGTCTTTAATATATACGGAGAATATATATTTTGCAGAATGTTTGAGGACAGTGAGGAGGGCTTCACTATTGGTGGGATACTCATCTACAACGCGATATGCCGATGATACTGTTCTTCTTGCCACGGACCTTTGAAAATATGAAGAACATGTTATATATACAAATAAGCTACAAAACTAAAGCCCGACTAGTTCAAGCTCTAATGTTCCCGATATTCTTATATGGTGTGGAAACATAGACAAACCGAGAGAGAGAGAAACAAATAATAGATGCTTTGAATTGTGGTGCTGGAGGCGTATGTTAAGAATACCATGTACGACTAAGCGCACAAATATATCTATGCTCTCAGAGCCGCATGTCAAAACTCGACTGTTTACAACATATGCTTATCTATACTGCGTACAGGAGATGACAATCTAGAAAAACTGTTGGCAATACGGAGGGCGAAATAATAATGAGGCTGTTCTCCAACATGTTGGTCCGACCAAGTAAAAGCGGTCAAGTCCTCCACCAAATTTCACCAGGCAGTAACAGCATCTATGTACCGGGACAAATGGAGAAAAACAGTCCTGTGCTATGACCATGACCTTCAGTAATGAAGAACAGACTAGAGAGAGAGAGAGATACTATAATTATCAATAAAAACATTTTCATGTAAAAAGTTGCCAGGCGAGAGCATTTGTTTCGTATTATCAAAAAGCTATCATAACTCACATGCTCTAGAAGCTTAAATTTTATGAACTCTACACTGCTGTTAATTAATTTTATGATATAATCGTTCTTGTATTGTTGGACTCTAAATATCAATAAAAAAATAATAGATGCTAGATGCCGTATCAACGTATTGAAAAAAATATTCACAAAGAAAACTATCAGTACATGTATTAGAGTCGATAAATTTCAAAGGTCGCAATTTAAATGTGAATACTAAATACTATAATAGTGAAGTCTGTAGCGGATATATAGACGAACAAAAAACTGTTTTGCATACAAAGGGAGTATTAACCTCTGACAACGTTAAAATGTTGCCGCATAGATAATTAGTTTGTTTTTTTTGTCTAGAAACTTTGTTGAAACAAATGAGTAATTAGTGTAGTGGTGGATGCGATCAGTTAATTGTTATCTGAGTAATAAAAACACAGGGAAATTCATGAAAAACTTTTAATTTGAAATTAATTATTATAAGATATTAAAATTATTTGTGATAATTCAAACCAAAATTTATATATGTTTGTATATATATTTGTATACAGCTGGTATTCTCAAAGTAGTATATGTATAAACGAAAACTGATTTTTAATTTGAAAATGTCAAGGTACAGTATAAGTATATTTCTGTGTAAATCTAACACACATGTCAAGACATAGTGAACAGTATTACGGGTATCTAACGTCAAAGATCTCGAAAGGAGGTGGCTCGATATCTGCCAATAATATCCACCCACAGACTTCAGTTACTCCGTGATCATGGCAACAACAGCACCGAAACCGAAATATCCTGGACTCGATAAATATGAAGTATGTACATAGTAGCAACTCTGCAACTGCTGCCATTCTAGTCCAACACTAAAATGGTTTATTACAACACTACTTTTTTACCTAAATAAATTCTCAGAATATTTTCTTGCTCAAACGCTAATCTTTACGCTATCTTAACGCTAAAATTTGTTTTGTTTAAATAAATTTACATAAATAAAATAAAAATCTGTGTATAATTATCTCATTTAAGTGTTCTGTTAGCAGCATCACTTTAAGTAATAAATTATATTTGAACGATGAAGAACTTTCTAGACAATTAATCATTAAATTAATTGACAAAGACCGACATGAAAAGACAATTTTAATTGTAACTTTTTATAATTAATTGATGAGTCTACGATTCTAATTTCTATTGTTTCTTTTTAATTATGCATAGGAATCGTAACAAAAACAGATGGAAACCAATTGTTTTTCTAATTGATTTAATTGATGTGGTGACCTTATAGTATGTTTTGTATCGTGCAAGTTTTTAACATGGACGTCGTATTCGAGTACGGTGCTTTTGTCATCACTAGGCAGACACTATGCTGTTCGTAAACTGAGATATCTTTATGTTAATGAACTTTGATTCGAAAGAAAGAGGAAAATAAAATGGATGGTCTTTGTAAAATATGCATTATTCGGTAATTTGCTGTGAAACCATTTATTTATTCACTAACATCAGAAAAATAGTCATCAGTAATATGTATTATCGGGAGACAATTCTCTTGAGTTATGTTAGGTAAACACTCTTTAAATGTGTTAATCTTTTAAGTTTTATTAATCGAAGCTGGTTAGCCATTACTTGCCTTGAAAAACAAAGGTTTGTATTTTAGCTTCATTGTTCTTCCTTAGATTTTGACAACTACTATTATTTATTTAGTTATGCGGTTTTATATTATTTTATTTAATATTATTTTGATTAATGTCCACGACTTGGTTGGATTACGACAAAAGACAAAGTGAGTGATTTTTTTTTATGTTGATCGAATAAAATAACCTCACATACTGTTAATTTGACTTTATAACATTCATTTAAATCTGCGACTGAAACAGATTACGGTCATGACCTTTAATTAAATTTGGCCAATTTTGAAAAGTCAAAGTTTCTTATGTGAACACTGCCCTGTAAGATATCTATTGGTTAACTGACGTATATAAAAAAACATTATATTCAGTAATTTCTGTTTTTTGAAATTTATGTGAATGAGTAAATTCATCATGATAATTTACTTAATTATTTCGAAAAGCGACATTTTGATCTTTCCGTTTACTTATTTCAAAACTCGACGCACTGATCTTTTAGTCAATCTAAAAATGACAGTGACAGTTCGTTTTTTAATATTCTGCTGTAGAGATTGAAGCTGTAGGTACTTATACAAAATTTCGAAACATTGCGAAAAGATTCGGAATGCAAAAGCTTTTCAATGGTTGTGATACGATTTCGAGTGGTACCCAAGATTTCCCACTTCCTTAGAGAGGTCTAAATTGGTGGCAAATTCGTCGTAATACGGCATAAATTATACGACACAGAACTAGCACGCTAGTTTTTCACGAAAGCTATATCCCATTGCTGTTATGTGTACCAGTCCTAATGTTCGCAAAGATTACAATTTCTAGATCCTCATTCATTGTTAAGAATACTCATAGAAGCTGTTTTTAAAAAAGAAGCACTAAACCATGAATTCAATTTATTGAATTGTTATAAAAATCGAAATTCTTCTCGTATTACTTTTAACATCCTTCCATACATTGTCATAGAAAACAGTGGGTGATATAATAATTAAAAACTAACATATATCTTTAGAAAAGACTCCAGTCATTCCCAAAAGAAATAAAAACAACAAATATTACAAAATATAAAACAATATTACCTTTATCATAAAAAAGTGATTTCTAATAGTGTAGATACAATGATGTATGAGTATAAGTTAATAATACTCATAAATTCACGTATATCCTTTCAGGAAACCATCCATTACTTTTAGCGGCATAATGATTGATGGAAAACTACTTAGTTTCCACTGACACTTATTTTGTTTTTCTTTGTACCTAATACATTAACTCCTTCCGCAAATAATAGCACATAATTGAATCTATTAAGCAATTGGTTTTAAGTGGATAAATATTGCAAATAATTAAAGAACGTTCTACAACCACGCAATGGAATATTTAAAATGAACATGCGTCTACGTCTTTAATCTGTTATTAGATTGAATACTTCTTCAAATAAATGTCTACTGTGTTTTAATAGTCAAGATCTTTAAAGAAAAATGCTTAAGGAATCCACCAGCTCCAGGTACCCCGAGATGGGACTGGTACCCACAAACTTTCGCAATCCGAGCGACTGTTCTTACCATTGTTCTACCCGAGACTCAGAAGAACTGACAAATTTTTCAAGTTTTTGTTGCTTTTTCGCTAGCGTGTTTTCACCAATGTTCAGGCAATCCACCCAAACAGCCGGAAGAAATATTTTTCACAATTATTTTAAACTTTTCACTAAGGTTGGTTCTAATTATTGTATTTCATCAATTTTGAATTCATAATACTAAACTCAAAAGTTTCAGTTATAATTATATTTTATAACTAGAAATTCCTGTTCTTTGTTTATATCAAATCAAACGATCAACTCATTTTTTTTTACATTCTAACTTAATTCCGGAGTTCAGGCTTTTAAATGATTGTGGAATTTCTTGTTTTTGTTTTTGTATGTCTACTTTTCTAAGAACGACATTACTTACTTGTTGGAGATCCTCCTCTAAACATAGGGTTTGGAGCCATCCAAGGGAAAGCGCCGAAAGGCCACGCAGGCGGCGGCGCTGGTCCCTGGTACAACCTCGGCAGCAACGGCTGCGGCACCACCACACCGCTTCTACTCTCAATCTCATCACCATCCTGAACATTATCCCTGTCATCTCTCTCGTCTCTATCATCTCCCGCGTTAGACTCGAGGTCCTCGATATCGACGTCGCTGTCGTCCGTCTCCGGCGCCGCGTCTGTGCTCTCCGCGTCATTGCTATTGCCGTCGTTCGTATCTTTCGGTGTATCAGTCTTTCCTCCCAAAAGAGAATCTACACTGAATGATATACGGCCTTTTCCGCCGCTTTCCGCGGCTTCGGCACGCTCGCATTCGAGCGACGTCTTCATTTCACCTGCTCGATGACATTTCAAATTTTTAAAATGCTGTCCTATTTTATAGATCGGTAAACGATTAAATAGGCATTGTTATTTTCTTTTTCTTTCGTTACTACGAAGAAAGATGGAGCTTATAAGTAGGTTGTAACGGATACGTCTCTACTGATGTAATTATTTGTTATTTCTTTATTATGTATATACTTTTATTGTTGTATTAGTAAAAGTTTAGTATGTTATTAAGTCCGCATTAAGGGAAATAGTTACAAAATTGATGGTTAAAACTTTTGTGAGTATTAATATTAATATCACTGTTCTATCACTTCATCGTCATTTATACTGATGTTTAACGTCTAATACATTGGTAAGCAGTTTGCTTTGCCTATGCATGGTACTAATTTAATTACACCACTCACGTAAAATGTCTAGTGCCATACACAATAGTCACAATTTAGCACAATTTGCAACACACGTGTTATTCTTCATAAATCAAAATTTCAATTTTGGTAATGGTTTTTTGTGTAAGTCAGTTTGGAAAATTGTGCTCTGAACATTTCGCGATTAGCGAAAACGTTTGAATACAAGACACGTCCGCGGACCGTTTCGCGTGGAAGCGCGTCGAAAATCGCGCTAGCATTGGCCCGACTTGCGGCCCGCCTCTCCTCTCGCGAGAGAGACGCAGCTACCGACCGAGGAATTTTAATAAGCGGCGCGGCGCGAGCGAGAGGACCATATAATCCAACATGTGTGTAAAAGCGATACCGAGTGGGCGGGAACCGTCGCGCTCAAATTGATATTCTCTATGGAATACGCCTTATACTGGCTACGATTTCAACAGTTATTTGTGTCTTATATATTGATGAAATAAGATTTAAATTAGAATGGGAGGGATGCAATAAAGAGATGTTTTAGAGTTGTAGTTGTCAGATTGCAGTGGCTATTGTGTTGAATGAAAAAGGAGTAAATAGAGTGGTGCCGTAGGCGGGCGTAGAAGGGACTTTACGATTTAATTATTCGCGAATGCGGAGGCATTTTGTAGCGAGCTAATGTCTCATTGTCTCATTAATATATCTCGAGTCGGCCATATTTGATTTGTTTATGACGGGTCCGTAGGTGAGAACGTGTGTGTTTTGACAGTTAGGAAACTGAGTATGAATACTTCTGGCACGGGATGGGATGGGATGGAATGGTAGCGTTGAATTAATTTCACTTCAGAATAGGAAGTCGGGCTTCACTCAACACTGTGTGGGTAGTTTCGGAAAATTGTGTTTGTTTCGTAGCGAATGTTGCATTGTTACTGGAAACAAATTCGATTTAAGTATTCTACAATTGAATTTCGTAACTAACTGTTGCGTATTGTATATGAGATATAGATATATCTACTCAGTTTGTAATGTAATTCTGTAATTAGACATGATAATTTGGTACACGTACTAGGTACTTTCAGCAATTCATACTAAAATTATAAGACATCTATTAATTAATTTGATCGATCAACTTCAAAGGTAATCTAGTTTAATTAAATTAACAACAGTGAATATACTTATCTATCTAATTAGCTATTGAAATGTTAGTTAATTTCATTTACCCTAATTTTTAAGTCATTTGGGGCAGAAATAACTAACTATATGGCTATTAATATACACACCCCTGTTCTCGTGATAAAAATTATATTAGTATAGAAATAGTAAAGGCATATAGGCAATTTTTTAGATAAGTTTTGTATCTAATATATTGATCTGATATATTATTGTTAAAATATCTCGAAAATTGCCCAGTGTGTAGTTATCAGCAGTAAATAGTGTTATAGAGACAACTATAATACCTAGCTGGACATTGTAAACTATCTACGTATAAATTAATAATTCCTTCTTTTGAGTGTTTGAATTTAAAAAATATATATAAACATTTAAAAAGAAAGTAACAAATTCAAATTATTTTTTGAAAAGACAACAGCTTGTTAACGAAACGCCATAGCGGAAACAGCATCAACGGGATCATTTCATATCGAATCATTAGCGACATGTCACTTAGCGCAAAGTTAATCGCATTACCTCATATCTATAATCTCTTTGTACATCATTCAAAAAGGTCCCCCTCTTACACCACACATAGACGAACTGATAACCAACCGTATAAACCATATTATAGAGTTCAGTTCCTATTGAAACTTCTCTAAGCATTCGCAAAACGATGTCAATTCGCAAATATTAACAAAGGACGATCACTACCCTAAAACGACAGGCTTGAAAATTGAACCTTGTAACTATACTGTGTAAGGTTTAATGATCAGTTTTAATAGGGGCTGTATGCACGTCCCCTTGCCAATTAATGTAATTTTATCGCACTGAGGGATTACCGTTGGGTTTAATTGAAAGAGTGTAATGACAGTGCGTACTGGGGTTTAGATAGTGTGATCTTAGTTACAAAGAACTCTCAAGTTAAGCTTAAAGAAACTATTAACGTATTTTGTTTATTTTACATTAACAGCAATTGTATTAATAATGAAAAAAAAAGCTATGGCTTACCTTTAAGATAACGCTCGAGCTCTAGTTCGCGAAGAAGCATTATTTGGTAAAGGAAAATAAGGTCTAACAAACGTTACACAGACAATCGGTAAACGTTGAATGTCGTAGAAAATTAAGAAGCTGATATTTAATTAACAATCTCGAAACATTCGCATAAAATATTATCTTTATAAGGAAGATCCTTTGAAGCAATAAAAGAGCTACAATACGACGTTTCTGGAGAGATCTCCAGGGCTACGAGAGCAGGCTTAACTCAAATTTATACCGAAATAATACGGCAAAGAGCAATCTTTTTAAATAACGACTTTCATATTCTGGAGTGGCGAGGACAATTTTAGCGGAGATGAGAGTTTTTTTTTTTATTAAAAAGTGGGCGATAGTGAGGGGACGAGGTGGTTGTTCGTGCGAAATGAGTTTTCAGTTGTTCGGACCTTTTTTGTGTATTTTAATAGGATGTTCCTCTTTGCTTCGTGGTGTATAGTGGCTTAATGCAGTTTGTAACACAATACTCTATTAACTTTTACCTTAGTGTTATATGGAATGAATTCCAAATTTAAAAAAGTAAAACAGGTAGCGTTACGTGTATTAAAACTTTTTGCATTTTATTTATTTTTGATAAACCTATGATATCAATTCACGAATAACAGATCTACATGGATAAAACATATGATTTGATTGTATAAAATACTATAAATATTGGTTATTGATTATTTATTAAAACATCCTCCTTCCTATATCAAATGACAGTCAAGCTACATTCGTAAAAATATTTTTTTAAGAAAAGTTTTAAATTCTTTCATTTTCAGTGTTGGTTATCTAGATTAGCATTGAATTGAATTCACGAATATTTTTTAAATATCACGACCGTTTTAATACCGGCCGTTGATTTTTCATTTAGAGAACGTTATGACGTTACGACTCAATTAGATAATAATATATAGGTAAAGTGGAGGGGGGCAAAGCTAAATCACAATAATGCGCACCGTTTGCGCGGGAAAATTGGTGACGTTCGCGTAATAACCGTCTAACGGGAGTCAAGGGTGTCAGGCTGAAGATTTTAAAGCGGGATATGATTTTGTATTATTTCTATATATATTATTTTTATCATTTTACACTGAAAAGTCATCAAATCTAATAAATTAAACAGTTTATGTCGTAATTTAGTTTTTTATTTTAATATTTCGTTATGCTGTTTAAATAGATTATCTAAACATTGATGAAAATGCCTACTAGTTGTGAAAATTAAAAGTATTTACTTGAGACATTCGATAGACTCATATGAAGATTTTACTTGATTGGTAGATACCAATTTAGCTGCGGCTAGCGTAAATATTCACTTGGATTTCATGTTGATTTATTGCAATAAGACTATAATTGGAAAATAGGTATATTTTTGAAAAATTATTACATTTTCCATACGTTCCGGATTCATTTTTAATTGATGATTAACAGGTTTTGGGTTATTTTTTTTATTTAATAAGTAATGCGCTTGAAAAATGAAAAAATAATATCGTTAAAAGCTAAAACAGTTCAATAAGTTGGATAGGGTCTTAAATGGAGAAATTAGTATATAGAATACCTAGTGCCATGACAATTATATGTAACTATACTAAATTTGATAGCAGCCCTAACAGAGGGCGGAGGGCAGGCGAACATTTTGAAATTATGCCATTCCAGCTTTAGGGGTGGCGACGACTTTAATTTCACCCGGGGACCGTTTTATTTTTTCAATTTATCATTTCCACGGTTTCATTTTAATTTTTTCCTTGAATTAGCTACCTAAAACGGGGCTATAACGATTCATTATAAGTATAGGTACCTATTTTTTTTTTTAATTTTGTTCGTTAAAGATAAATAAAGATTCTAGTTATTATTCCATTGAATTTTAATGTTTGCCGTTTACGACCCAGATAAAATAAGAAATCATTAGTGCAACGAATTGATCATCAAATTTATTTTAAATATAGATATTTAAATCAAAACTATTTCTTTAAGATAATGTTAAAATAGCTCACTAAGAATCCCTGAATTCATAATTCAACAATATAATTACATAAAGTAACTAAAGTAGTTGAAAAAGATAGAGATCTGGCTACCAGGTAATTTTAAAGGAAACCACGAAAACACCGTCACAGCCGTATATTATTATTCTCACACTGAAGTTTTACATTTGTTTCGCAAGTCTAAAAGTATGAATGACATTTATTTAAAAACTGAGAATTTAGAAAATAAACATGCCAAAAAGGTTTACGTAGCGGGTCACCAACAGTAGTCCTTATTATTAAGATATAATACAAGAGTTACAAAGGATTTTATAAACTTTAGTCAGAGTCAAGAAGAAAACAATATTTACCCTGTAAGGGATCCGACGTGAATGTATTCTGAGTATAGACAATAGTGTTGAGATTATGGTTATTACAAAAGATTACTACAATTAAGTTAACAGAATTAAGGACAATGTTGTATCCAATAATTTATCTCATTTTA